ACTAGGGACAATACTACGACGACTACTGCCGACTTCTACTCGTTTTGCTGCTGCTTCAGGTCTAGCCGTCTGCCTACCTACATTTTCACACCCCTATCCAGCCCAACCTCTTGGCCTACCTGCCCCCGGTCTAGCCCTGAGCTTACCGCTGTACATACCAAGGACCTAGGCCCGTCCCGAGCCCAGCCTTGCGGCTACCTGAAGCCTGGTGTAGAGCTTTTTAAATGAAAACATCGACGAAGCCGAAAAGTACCGAGCGGAAAGCCGAAATGCCCGAAAACGTACAGAAACGTGCGAACACGCGGATAAAAATCAAGAAATCGAAAAGCAGAAAAGCCTGAAAGTACCGAAGTGTGCGAAGTCGGAAAATCAAAAATCACCGAAAAGTGAGAGAAGCACAGAAAAACGCGAAAGGTCAAGAAACCTAAATTTCGACCTTTGACGGTGAAACTGCAAAGCAGTGCCGGCTGCGAGCACCTAAGGCGGCGGCACCCCAAACCCGAAGAGTAGCCTGACATAGCCAAACCCGAAACCCAAGTCCGTCTGAATCCGAAACCGTGCGAGACCGCCGGAAATCGGTGGCATGCCGAAACCAGCCACCCTAAATCACAGGAATGTAAGTTTGCGAGACCCTCAAACCTAAAGACATGCACGGTGGCGAAACTAACACTGTTGCTGAAATTTACAATCGGGGCTTATCTTGATTCCAGGTGGTGAGAAGTCCATCCCGAGACTTGCGTTGCAAGGGTCGCAAACCCACATTTCCAAGACGCGCTCATGATTGCGCACGAGCAGGGCGCTTCTGCCACTGAGTTTACGTGCTGCATCAACTACCAGCTGCTCAGGTGATTCCGAGTCATTGAACTGAGCCATACATTCGGGCATGTAGCATCATGTGTTTTGCTTCAAGCTTGTCGACCAATATGGAGGATCAAGCTGGTCATCTGGTAGCGGAGTTTAGACGTGAGTTTGCCCGTTCAAGCCTGCAACAGAAGGTGCGGTCACCCTTAACCCAAACAGGAATGCACCGTGAAACCTTGAACCTTGAAACGAACCGCAACGCGGCAAATCCTTGAACCCTTTTGTATCATCTAATTAAACTATTCGGTGGCGCTAGGTGGCAAAGACAAAACGTAAAACACTAAACTCACTAAAGGGAACATCATGTGACGAACCCTTGAACCCCAAAAACCATCCAGTGGCCGAAACTCTCAAAGAAATTTACGCTGGCGCAACCTTGAACCCCAGCTCTGAAAGGAATGTAAGACAGCGAAACCCTGAATCCCCAAAGAAATCTAACGTGGCGAACCCGCAATTCGCCCTAATAAGAACGCGACGAGACCCTCAACTCTAAGGGAAGGTCGCAAAGTCCAGTCCTCAACCAAACAGGTCTGGACAATCTGAAAAAAAAGTTTAAGCAGAACGAGGCTACCCTGAACCCTGGAAGGCCTATGCACTGATGTATGGTAGCGCAGCCCTAAGCCGGAAGGAATGTAATGTGGCGAACCCTAAGGCCTACAAGGAATTCAGGGTGACAAAACCCTTAAGCCTCAACCACATGCAGCGCGGCGTCGCCCTAACTCTAAACGTAATGACCTAATGCAACATAGCCACACCATGCAGCCCAGCAAGATTTCCACAGGCAAGCCCCTACGTCCTTAAAGTATTGCAAGGCGGGGCGGGAGAAACTAGCAAACTCTGACTTGACGTCGCGATACCCTCAAACATCAACCGAAAAAGATATGCAGAGAATCACGACTGTTCATGAGGAAACACTTCAAATAAGACCAAGAAATGTTTCAAAAAAGCTAATCATGTGGCTATAGAGGGTTGCGAAATCCTTGACCCAACACAAGATTGCATGTAAGGTGGCGACACCCTAATTAAAACATCAAAACAAGCGTAGTGGCGAAACTTCAACCCTGCCCACGAGCATGCAAGGCGGCGAAACTCTGCCGAAACCCAATGCGCTTAGAGACTGACAAAAGTCTGAAAATAAAAACAGTGTGTGTTGCGCTTCAGCGGGCGAAAGTAAAAGCATGTGGTGGCGAAGCCATAGCCCGATATTCTGAAGCCGCTGGAATGGCGCGCTTTAATTGCAGGAAGCAGCTCCTCGTCCGGGATCTGGTCGAGCTTCGGCCACTGACGAGAGTCGTGCGTTGCAGTCGGAACCTTCAAGTAAAGACGGTGAGATCGCAACGAGAAAAGCATAGCGCATAGCATTCGTCCCCCACTCATCGCCTCGTGGATCGAGTGACGGAAGTCTTCACGGACCCTCTGCCTGGCCGGGTCCTCTTCCCACCACGGGGTGCTTCTGAGGTTGTTCATCATCGGCTTGTCATGTGCTTGTCTGCGTGTTTGTGTCTGTCCTCGATGGTGATGAAAGCATCAAGCTGCTGCTGGCTGGCCTGCTGGGTGCCGCAGCTGCGACAGCGACAGGTAAACGGCCACTGCTTCGATGCATGCCTCGATCAACCGCCTTAAGTTCAGACCCCTCTACTGGTACAACCAGGTGTTCTTCAGATGTGTGGCTCCGTGCTGCTACTGCACTCGACCCGGATGAAACCACAAGAAGACCTGGTGAGCAGAAAAAAAGCCTCCAGCAGCCGCGAGGCCTTCACGCTCCACCGTCAGGCAAATACATCGAGCCTCCACAGTCGCGGTGAAGTTGATCGGCTGCTGTAGAACCCAGACCTGACTCTACATGCTGGAATATAAAAGAATAAGATGCTCTTTACTGAGCAGCACATGCAAAGCTCCCACGGATGCTTGGATGCAAAGACCCTCGCAGTGAGCTGAGACACCGGCAAGAGGCAACTTATCCGCTAGAAGCATCTCACCTCAGTGGCGAGATTCTGTCGCAAGAGTCTGAAAGCATCCGTGCTAGAGAGTGGCTCTGAAGACCTTCGGAGCGCAGCCCTTCTCGCAGTATCCGTGCAACCTGAGTATGCCAGTGCCAAGCAACGCCAAGCAGCACAGAGAAGCCAAGTTTGAAAGCCTGTTGTTGCTCCTCGAAGAAGACGAAGAACTGCTGGTTGAGCACCTACGAACATCTGGAGTCTTGCTTGGAACCACAACACGAAAAACGGAATAAGGACCTTGAGGTTGTTTAGCAACACCGCCTTGGCTTTTGCGGGCAAGCGAGACAGTCAGTGTCGGCGTAGGGAACAAGTCACCTGCTGTGATGCCAAAAAATGCCATGCCTCTCTCATGCAGAGGGGCGGAGGAAAATAATAGAGCCAAGCTGAAAATCTTGGGTCCATAAGAGCTTCGGGCATCCTGCGCAGTCACTTCACCGTCTCGCAATGCAAGTTTAAGAAATCGGACTCGAACTACCAAAAGACTGTCCTCAGAGGAGAAGAGGCCTTCTGTGTCCATCCATACCTGATGTCTAGACAGCACGCCTCACTCTTTTGTGGGAATATGCTGGCCAAGCGCCACTGTTCCGCCAGAGGAGATTGGCTCGGCACATATGTCAATGCCCCTGGAAAGCCGAAACGATCCGATACGCATCACGTGTGCTGGAATGTCGGGAACTTCTGGCCTCGTAAATGTCTGCTGCCCGTGCCCCACACCAAAGCCGCCTTCGTAAGGTGCCTAAGTGACACACGTCTTCGGTTGCAGCACGAGTTGCTGAGCAATCTGCGCACCTTGAGCCCCATCAAGCGGTTAAGCAACAGCGACTTCCCACCACGGTAAACACCAAGCGCAGGCACCTGCATCGTAGCATGTTCATGCGAGACATCTGAAAGCCACAGATGCAGATTGAGCCCCCAGCGAGGAAAAGCGGCGAGCCTCAGCGTGCAAAACCCAGCCCGGTTGTTTGACCAACATTGCAGAACTGTTCCGGGTTATCCTAGTGCAGAGGCCGGAAAACCGAAATAGTCAGACTCCAGTTTCTTTCCACCGAGTGACGTTGAGCAGCCAAGTACTCCAACCCAGCTTCGCTCAGATGAAGTCCTGCGGCGCCCGCCTCAGGAACGGTGCTTCGATATAGCAAAGCACTGCACGGTTCAACTCATGAGATTCAAGTGGCTTCTCCAGCCTCATCATCCTCAAGTCACAGTATCAAGACTCAGCGGTTCAAGCAGATCATGGCATGCCCCATCCATCCTTGGAGGCCACTTCGATTAGTCGAACCGGACAGAGCTGACATGCCGACTTGTCCGGACGAACCTGGGCTGCTTGGTATCTGGAACCCATGGTTTGCAGGAGATGCAGAATTGCGACGAAGCTTCGAATTCCCCAGAAGAATCCGAATCTCCGGAGTCATTCTGGGCTTCCGCAGCTGCGGGTACTGATTCGCCCGTCTCCGCGGTCTCCACCTGGGCTGGTCACAGTATCAACGGCCACCCAACTCTCAGCGCCCTGTGCCCCCAACATGAGCGAAGACTGAAAAGCGTAGGGAACTCGTGCAGAGTTGCCTCAGGCGCCTGTGCAGTAGTTGCGGCAGAGCCCTGCACCTAGCAACATCACGTCCCAAGCAACGAACGAGCAATCAAGAGTGGCGGAGTAATGCCACATCAGACTTGTATGCTTCGCCGCCTTTGTCGAGTTTGCTTCCGAGCTGGCCACAACGGCCACGAGCAACCAGAGACCGAGATGCCACTTTGGCCTGCTCAGGAGCAAACTCTGGTGAAACATAGTCAAACACATGTCCAGCCACACGATGCTACGAGTAGCCTTATCAGCGGCGGCATACCCCTTCGGCTAGATGGTGGATGCTTTACGTCTTGCGGTGTTTGAAAGGCAACTCTCGGTGATGTGGGAATCTCGCGCATCTAGCATCAAGCTGTGCTAGAAACAGGTTGTGCTGGACAGTCTGGGGTAGCATTTATCCGAGAAGACAGTGCTGGCTCGTCGAGTCTGTGGAAATGGATCCGCATGATAGGAAAAAACCTGAAGCAGCGGTTCAGTTGATCCAGCAGACAGGTTGACAAGAATATGAATATAACATGAACATTCAGCAAAGCCTCGACAAGTTGCAGTTCTCGCCTGTCCTGGTATTGCGGGCTGGCAGGGTCCAGCCACATGCCCTTGGGACAGGTCGAGCTTACAGAAGCACTGCCCCGCGCAGCAAGCACCAGACTGAAGGCAAGTCCTTTTGCAGGACCTTGGGTGCAAGACACGTGCGGGTCCGGAAATGTTGCAGTACGAAGTATATTTATGAAAATGAGTTTACCGGAGGTTGCGTAAACATTGGATGTTGTGGCAAAGTTGGATCGTGCCATCGCAACTGTCGAAGGACTGCATGAAGTCAAGATTCTGCGCAAGGCAGGATTCTGTCTCAAACATCATGCGCGTCTCGAACAGGCTTGCAAAAGAAAGATGGATTCTTGTACAATGCGGAGCTGTGACGAGGGGCCTTGGAGGTCAGAGAACCGAGCACTGGCCCGATGGTGCAACGTCCGACATCGTCCGACAAAGGACACGTCGGAAATGGGTTGGGTTGAGCTTTGCGGAAGCTCGTGTGAATCGTGTTGGGGTGCCGGTTCTGCACTTCGAGGAGGCACTTTCGTTTTGGCCGCGGAGGGCTCAAGGACTGCCGCAGCAATGTCGGAACCCGCTTCATGCTGCAACCTCCGAGATTGATGCAGCAACGTGGACGTCCTATGTATGGTGCCTCGAGGGCACAGGCTAAGCCGCATCATCCAATGTCTGTCGGGGAGTCAACCGAGCAACATGTTGCTTGTCGGACATTGGTCTTTTGCCCAGTGATTTGTCACAGGCTGCAGGTTTGGATTCCTAGCGAAGCTGGGGAATTTGAATGGCTCTGGGCAGCTCTGAGGCACCAGCGATGCCGCCGCTCAGCGCCGAGATCGACTCCGAGAGCTCCACCCTCGAAGCATCTCGAACCAACAAATTTTGTTTGCTCGGAACATCTGAGGGTGCGTTGCCGCTTTGTGCACTTGAGCCGCTTTGCGGAGTCCTGGGACTCACGCGTGAATTTCTCGAAGTTCGTCAGGAAGTCGGTCTGAAAAAACACATGCTCACTAGAAGCACACACCGAACCACATGATCAGATGATTCAGATGGGTGCCTTCTGCTCTTCGTCGCATTGTCCCCAGTTGGCTTCCTGCACATTTCCCACAAAACTTTCATTCTCCTGCGCATGTGGTCATGCAAACCACCTGTCTCGCCGCAATCGGCTGGAAAACCGTTGCGAGGGTGGTGCCTGCTCTGTAGTAGCTGAGGTACTGCTTGCTACAAAGAAACGTTGCTTTAGGTCGCCGTACACGCTCCCAGGATCCGGCTGAGGCTCTCCAGCGGATTCGGGGTCACCTCGCCAAAGAGGAGCTCCTGGCGGGGGTTTTGCGAAGACCGCGTCTGGCCACTGGAAGCGTGGCATCCTGGTCCGAGAACACGTCTGTTTTGATAGCTCGGTCTTGCCTGCGCTAGGTCTATGACTCTGTGACTTGCTCGACTGCCCCTTAAACCTGGCCCGCACTTAGGCTGCGACGGCACATTCCTCAGGAAGTACACCTCAGGTCGTGAACCAATCGCCGACTTGTCAAACGACAGTGCGAAGTCCAAGTCAAATGCTGCAAGGCTTTTGATTCGCTCGTTCTCGCCTGTTGTGATGGTGAACTTGCAGTCCTCCCGGCTGCATGGCATGTACGACTGAGGCTGCAGTGGCCTCAATACCCAACTGAATCTTGTCGTTCCACCTGTCCTTATCAGCATCTATAATCTCATTGTGCTCGTTGGTGGCATCAGGGCGCTGGTAGAAGAAAAAGATGTGTTGCCTTAGCTAGTAGATGCCGTGCAGGCACGTCTTCCTCGTCGCCGGCTGGAGCTTTAGGTTCGCAGCTGCTTTGTCCTTCCTTCGAGGAACCTGCGAGCAAAGCTACCTGCTGCTCTTCGCCACGCATTTGAACAATCAGTCTGCATACAAGAAACTCGGTCAGCTTTTTGTAGTTCAGGTTTTCCTGAATCAAGCCTGTCAAAGGGCAACTTTGGGGAAGACACCTGCAAAATCAGCCATCCGAGCTCCATGCTTTCAACTTTTCTGATCTGATTCTCCTCCTCCTTGGCTCGCAAGTTGCTGGAAGCACTCTTGCCACAACATGTTGGAAATAACAGCAGAGCTTCTCTTCCAAATGCACTGGCCACGTTTTCAGCAATCCACTGGAAGCGTGGCAACCTGATGCAGCAGCTTTTCAACTGAGACATGTGGGACCCATTGAGTCCGCAGCATTGTGTGATACGGAGCCTGGTGCACCTTGCAAGAAGTGCGGGGGTGAAGGTCCTCGGGTAAAGTTCACACCACCTGTTGTAGAGGCACCAGGCTCACGCATCCCAACGCGGAATTATCATTGTGTTGCTTGCTGCAATCTGACGTATGCTGTGCTGCCTTTTGAAGCTGTGGGCTCGGGTGGCGCAACCACATATGACAGTTGCATGTGGATGAAACATGAGAACGGCTTGAATGTGTGCGGGAATCCTCTCACTGCATCTAGATAAAAACCTGAACACCCCCACTAAGCAACTGCTTTGAGTATCACGTGGCACACGTCTGGCAGAAATTCGACGAAGGCTGAGCACGCTGTCGTTCAATCTACAGCAAGACCTTGGGGTTGCCCGACGGCTGAGTAAGAGAGATGAGCGGACAATAGCGGACACATCAAGAAATTAGCGATAGAGAAACATAAAAAGCAGCCAAACTGACAGGACGATGGAACATGACTACGCTTCCGGTGCCCGTCCGGCGCCTTGTGGGTCCTAGCTACCGCCTCCACGCACGGAGGCTGCGAGGACCAATAGATCAAAGAGACAACAACAGCAGAAAGAGAGAGAGAGAGACAGAGATTTGCAGAGAGCGAAAGACGCAGAGACAAACAGACAGATCAGATCAGCAGACAGAACAGAGAGGGAGCCATGTGCCTTGCCGGACAACCATCCTGTCCATGCACAGGTTCTTGTGCCATTCTGGTTCGGGATCCCCCGCTCCGTTGCACCTGCTTTTTGTCGCACCGAGCTTCACACATCCGCCAGCAGCTGGGGAACACTGTCACCGCCTCTTGATGTCGCACTGACACAACTGGCCAGCACGCCAGCTTTGGCAGACGTGATGCTGTACAAATAAGCAGATCAGCAGTCTTGGAAGCAGGCCACGCATGTCTGTTGGTCAGGTCAACTTCTGCCCTTGCCCCCAAAATCATGCGCACCGCGGATCCACCCTGGAAGCTGCCACGTGCATAATTCATGCGGGCAAGCCCCAGGAAGTGCCCGACGATTGTCGCTCATGTCTACAACACGGCTGGAAAAGTTCGGACATGGAGGAACCACACGAGCCCCTGCAGCTCGAAAATCTTACGACTTCCTTCAAGCAAGGAAGCCTCAGCCTCATCAAGAGCAAAAACACTTGCGAGCAACCACCCCCCTGATTCCCAAGAGGGCTCAGCTTTAAGCCCAGCTGCTGCTGCAAGTCTTGAAAAGTTGAATGCTACACGTGGAGATGCTGCAAGACCGTCCGTGATCGCACGATCATCAAAGCGACTCACGCCTTACCGGCTGCATCGCGACAAAGATGGCATTTCTGAAGCCACTGCTGCCAATACTCTGCAAATACAGCCGAGCAGTTGCACATCAAACAGCAAAACTAGCGTATGCTAGCCAAGACTCGTTCAAGATGTCAGCATCATCCGGTGAAGCTGCATCTGTCACCTTCTTACTATATGCCTGCCGCTTGTGGTTGCGAAGCCTCCAGTTCGTGATCTCCACTCGAAGCCTGAGGCGGGAGCCGACTTAGATGCAAAGAACCTGACATGCCAATGCATGTGTGGCGGATGGGAGTGCCTGACATCATGGCTTTACGATGTGCGACCTGTTGCATTTTGGACTGCATCCATGCGTGCATAAACTTTGAAGCTCCAAGCAGCAGCAGAACCATCCATGCCAGCAATCGTGCTCCCACGAGGTAGCAAATGATTATCCTCGGCAGTTTCACAACGGGAAGACTCGAAGTGCTCGTAGGAGACTTGCCTTGCCGCTTCACTGCCTAAGATCCCCCTAAGCCCTAAACATCCCTAAACGTAGATTTAGCATGAGACCGAATCGATGACACGAACACACAGTTGCATACAAGCTTCGCCCAGTTCGTGGGCTGGTCTTCTCGCCGCAAGCCTTGACATGGAGATCATCCGATCAAGCAGCCAGCTTCACTGTGCGGACGCAGTTCACCCTTGGAGTGCAATCGCGCCACCAAAGAAGGACAGCACGGCCTCTCCGTTCGCTAGGCATGGCTGAGACGGACCTGTGCTGCCACTCCCATGCTCACAGGTCAGAGACGCAGCACGACATACACAGCAGAATCTCGGTGCAGCTCGCGTAAATCAATCTAATCCCGGTATCAAGTCCACAAGCGACTCAGTAATGCAGATCGCGACCACATGTCGTGAGAAGCGGCATCTCAACATCACAAAAGTTGGCGCAGCAGCCGAGTCGTGCTGCACAAGACTACTACTGTTCTGAAGGATCCGTGCAGGCTTAGCCTTGGGGCCCGATCGAAGACGACGATACTAGAAGCGAACAACGACGAATACCACTTAAGTCACTTCAGCTTGTCCTAGCACATCAAAGCCTTGCCCGGCGCTGCACCCGACACGTTAAACAAGCAGAAGCCAGCACCGCATCTTACAAGTCGGAAAGCATTCAAGATCACCGCGGCTGCCCCAGATTGCAAAGGCATACCTCGCTCGCTCGCCAAGAAGTTTTTCCCAAAGAAAGCACACTGGAATGGCTGAGGCTGTCCGGTGGCATACAGCACATGCATGTGCCACTGATGCAGCTGCGAAGCTCCGAGAAGATCGGTTTGAAAGGGCCGATGACTTCAATCCATCTGAAGTACACGGGGATGTCATCGGTGGTGATCAAGAAACCTTTCCAGCAAACAAGCTCAACAAACTTCTAAGTGAGGCTCTCATGAGTGCGCACAGGTTTCACGACACTCCTGCACTCTCCTCGCTGCGGCTTTTGCCAACCAGGGGCCGTTGAATGTCAAGAAAGGAAAGATTGTCAGCAGAAATGTCGCGAAAGCATACTCAGTTCTGCCGCCAATCATGCTGCAAAGATAGCCCCAAGCAGCACCGATGTGGGAAACTAGCACCGACATCAGCACAAACATGACGTACCTGGCGTCAGCCACACTTTTGTTGACCGCGCAGAGCTTTAGTCAGCTCAGCCGCATCTAGCACCACAAAACGAGTTTGTCTTCAAAGATAAGAAAACGGGCCCAGAAGTGCCAAGAATCGACTCACCAGTCTTGCCAATCCCTGTCATGAGGAACACCGCCGAGGAGAGGATGCAGGGAGCCAGAGTATCCACAGGGAAGTCACCAATAACTTTGGACCAAAACCATGCAGAGATGGAGTACATGCCTGGGCACGTAAGTGATAACGGAAAACTAACACAGCCGGTGCGATCCCAGAGCAAAGAAGAGATCGCACAGCGTTGCGTGGGAGAGGGCAACTTGTTTCACCTTAGGCCTAGGCCACCACCGCCTCGGCACCGCTCTTGACGATGGCACTGCAAAAATGACTGGCTGTTGTCAAAGAAAAATCTTCTTTCTCTGCGTTAGCGTATGTCATGCATGCACAGACGGACGGACACACGGCAGGATGGATGGATGTATGGACGGAGGGACGGATGGACACGTGTGGGCATGTCGCATGTACACACATGATATGTACTCTTACCATGTTCTAAGCAAACCCTATATCTACCCTGAATATGCACATGAATGGCTGCGTGGTTCTTCGTGCTGCCCATGCCAAGAACAGGAGAAGTTTGGTGAGAGGATGATGGCGACGTGGCTAAAACAAGAAGAAGAAGGATCAGCAGACAGTGGCCACTACTAGGGAAAACTGAATTGATTCTGCCTAGTCCTAACCTTGCTTAGCTTCTGTATCAGCAAGCTGCCGGCAGTGGACTCACGGAATGCAGGTCGCAAAGCCAGCGGCAGCTCTTGCGTGAGGCCGAAGCCGGCCGTCATGAAGGTGTTGATCATCATCATGTTAAGCAAGCCCATGATACTTTGCCAGGAGGCCTGATTGTTGGGAATTTGCCAATAGAGCGAACCGAAGAGAACGGCCATCAGAAGGGTCCGTGCAATCACCGCCTTGAAGAGAATCTTGCTTCGGCGGCGCAACAAGAATTCACGCTGCACAAGTGATCCCAGTGCTCCCGAGGCTGAGCTCTTCAAAGACTTGTCCGAGGCTGGGTCTTGCGGCACTTTGGGGGCATCGACCTGTTGTACGGCCGCCTGGAGCTTCTTCACGTTCAATCGGGCCTCTTCCCGTGCGGCCTCTTCGCCGGCATTTACGGCCACGCATCGCATAAAGAAGTCAGCAGGGCTTTCGTCGTGTGGACAGGCAAGGCCCAGGGACTGGTAATGTGCGAGGGCTTCAAAAGGCGCCCCATGATAGACGACTGCGCCGTCCACTAAGATCAGCACCTGTCTGCTGTCAACTTATGCCATGGGAAACCATCGACTACATCAACCCCCAGGCAAGCGAAGCGATCTGTCGCCCTCCGGCCTTGTCAAACAAATTGAACACCTCCTCACTCGGCTGGTGAATCGTCGCGAAGACTGTGCGCTTCCGTCCGGAACCCTCACCTCGTGCGAAGTCCCGTAACATCTTGCACACGTTGTACCTCAGAACAGCTGGAGAGATGTGTACCGGCCCAGAATTGATCAAAGATATCATTAGGTCAAGCCGCGCCATGGCAGAATCCAAACCACTGGTGGCTTCGTCAGCGAAAAGCACCGAAGGCTCAGTCAACAGCTCCGTAGCGAAGGCCAGGCGCCGCCGCTCACCACCTTGCAAGGATACGACTCAACAAATCTCCTCTTCTAGCAGGGCTTCGCTTCTCAGGTATTTCGGTCCAAAGGGAAGTGGAAAGCAGCGAAGCTTCACTTCTTGTCGCCTGAAATTCCCGCTCCAATGTTGCCGATGAGAGTGTTCTTGCACTTTGCCAGTCCGAGCTCCGTGATCAGCGCATCAACCCGCTGCTCGCGTTCAGCTTTCGAGAACACTCCTATACGGAATCGGCATTGGAAGAGCAGGTGTTCCCGGACGGTGAGTCCTGCAAAGCTCGAAGCTCGGACCCCTCAAAGGTCCTTCCAACGCACTTTGGAGAACCCCGTCCTGCAAAGAGCTGCTCATCTTGAAAGAGAAATCCGCTGTGATCGCGCATTGCCGGGGTCCACTCCCCACCGTTGACCTTCACACTGGATCCTGCAAGTTGTGAGTCTCAATGCGGCTCAGCGATGCTCAGCGGGTCCTGGCAATAACGGAAGCTCGCCGATGCCCGCAACGGACTTCAAGAGAGTCGACTTGCCAGAACCCGAGGGCCCCATAATCGCCATGAGCTGACCCGGCTCGAGATGACCGCTCGGGCCATCCAGAATCCGGCAAGTCCTCGGCAGGGAAAAGTTGTGCCCATATTGTGCATGTTTTCGGACATGACCAGATCCCGAGTGATTGAAGGTGATTGAAGCAAGCGGCTGCAACTTCCCCGTTTCGTTTCGCTGCACATCTATGGTCAGATTCTGCCAAGCCATCAACAGCTCAGGCCGAGGAATGTCAGTCAACTTTGGCTTTTCTTCGTCTTGGCCTCACATGCAAGCTCTGAGCAGGCCACGGCTGCAGCCACTTTTGAAGCTTAGTCACGGCGCAGCTCCCCCTTTGTGTCATCTTCCGGGGCAGCACCCTCGAATTGTCGAGGGCGTGCCCGACGCATCAGCATAAAGAACGCCAAGCTGTGATAGCAGCCTCAGAAGCAAGAGTTTGGCAAAGAACAGCAAACAGCCTACATACCTGTAGAGGCCCTTCGCAGGAATCGATAGAGGCACTTCGGCACTCCTGCATCCGTTGAGCGGCAAAGCGGAATCAGGAGGTACAACATTGACACCATGTAGCCTGAGTTCCGGAATGTGCCCGTGCTCGCTCAGACATGGTGGACTGAAATGCTGAAAAAGTCATGGTGATAGCACGACTGCTGGGAAGAAGCTAGCGCTGTCTGGATTGATTCCGCTCCACGCCAAAACCTCCTCTCCGTTTTGCGCGATGCACGGCCCATCGCATGGCAGGTCGCCAAAGTCTTGCCACTGGTTGATCATCAAAGCCTGCGCCCATCGGACCGTTGAACTCCGTCATTCAAAAAAGCAAGGGCGCCTCGAAGCTGTGACGGAACATCGAGATTGCTTTCAGCCATACCAGCCCGACAGGAACGGAGTCCAAATTGATGAAGAGGCCTCCCATCATCATCCTCAACTCGGATATCACACTGCTTTGCGTTTTGCTGCCCTCATCTGCCCTCTTCTGCATCATGGACGTCAGCGGTTCACACGAACTTCTAACTCTTGAAACTTGTGGAGGATCTGAGGCATGACATTGAGAAGCACCACAAGCCTTGGATAGTCGATTCCCGCCAGTTGCCCTAGAAGTTGCTAGACTAGTCGAGAACAGGAGCATTCCCACGGCCCCGATTGGCGCGACATAGCCGCCCAAGTAGCCAATGCCAGTGGCAACAGAAGTGAGGAGATAGAGTGTCAGGAAGAACCAGAAGAAGTTCCTTGCTGCAAACAGGAAAAGCTCGGGTAACCCAAAGCTTTCCCTTCCAGCTTTCAAACATAGCCTCATTTGAGCTCAGTCTCTCAAAGGAGCTTCGGAATCCCACCATCCAGAACAGCATCGTCGACCAGAGAAGGGCAATCTAAGACTGCGCACATTCAGTCAAACGCTAGTTGAAGTCATTTGACAAGTTTTCCCTATCTTTTTTGCCTCCTGCACGTGTTTTCCGTGCGGTGCCCTTCTTGCAAGGAGAAGCACTCCAAAATCAAAGGGCAAGTCGGCGAGGAACTTACTGATGTAGATTGAGGGAACCTCAGACCGTAAGAGCACAAGCACGCACGAGGACCATCATCATCATCATGCTTGTGTGACGTGGTGTCAGCATGTGGTCCAGAAACCGACTCGTGGTCAGAGTCGCTAGGCTCAGAAGCTGACCGAATACGCTCCATTTCGATGTTCACGGATCAACGTGGGAAGGCGCGTTGGGATGCCCATGGCACCACCCATACACTTAGATAGCACTTTCCGAAGCAAGTGCACCAACAGAGCAGTGAGGGGGTCGACAGCTTACACTTGGCGATGGACCCCATGTGCGCAGCATACCGACTGTGGAGGCAAGCTGCTGTGTTCATCACCTGCATCATCATGACCTTGGACAGTTTCCCATTCTGGCTCGACTCAAAGCCGCGTGCCGCTTCTGCCGCGGCGGTCTTGGGCTGAGACAAAGAAAATGCAGCCATTCAGTGCGAAGAGGGCCTGCGCATGTCTCAGCAAAACACCATGTCGTGACTGTCAAAAAGCTGTCCAAATGCAAACCAGCATGGCCGAGGCTCCGTTTGGGTCTTCTCGATCTGAAAGAAGGTGAGGCCGAAGATCAGTCCCAGAACAACTGTCCGGATCACAGATGATCGCAATTCTGCTTTCGCACGTGTCTTCATGATCACCTCCGGTGCACAGGCAACACACTCTTGCCAAGGCCATAATGTCTCAAGCCGTTCGGCCCGCTGCACCGAGCAACTTCTTGCAGGACCCGGCCGAAGGCAGCTGGCTGGACTTATCAAGGGAACAGAAACTTGACAGATGGGCCTATGGGCCCACGGCTTTGCTGTTGGGCTCTTCGACATCAACTTGATGCACCATGAAAGGTGACCGCTACAACTAAAACCCTACAACCAGAACAAGCAAGATGACAGTTCGGACGCATGTTTGCGAATGTGTCTGCTACTGTAAGCGAATTGTGGTCACACAGTGTGAACCATCGTGACTTCTGAGCATCAAAATAAACCCTGGCTGAGCGTCCTCACGCTTCGTCATCTGGATCAGCTGCAGAAAGCAGTTTCTGCCACGGTCATCGTCTGGGCTTTCAGAAATGGCCTGATGAGGTCAACAATTTCACCACAGCATCTGCAACTGCTCCTGCTGCAGCACGGCCGCATCTTTTCCCATGATCTTGATTGGGGCATCATTCGCACGAGCATCATCCTCGCAATGAAGCTACTTGGAACTCGAGTGCTTGGTGCAGAAGGATGTCAGCTGAGAATCATTGGGCCACTGCTTCTCCCATGCATCGCCTTGCCGGTAGGGTCACTGAAGATGGTTGGAAGATGGGGTTTCATGTAGAACAAGGGGTCATCTTCGTCCTTCTAGGGGGTCAACGGCAGTAACTTTGCCAGGAGTCCGATTGCAACACGACGGCTTGCAGCACCGTCTGGATCCCGCGGATTTATGCACCTTGTGACACAGGAATGCACCACACACTCAATAAAATGCCAATGAAGTGCAACTGAAGAGCAGCTTCATCACAAAATCGGCAGGCATGGTGTGATCAGGCATTGGGTACCCGATGCTCGAGAAGTATGCTTCCAGCTGTTTGACCGGACCAAAGAAAGCGGTTCTTCCGTCCACGAGGAAGTGGAGACGATCGAAAAGCCGGAAAACCTTATTCGGCAAGCAAGTATGCACGTTTCTGATGGCCGTGTGTGAGCAGAGCTTCCGATAAGCCGCCTGTGACGATGGCTGATGTATGGATGCAATGACAGTGACCTTCTGGCCCTTCTGCCCTTCCATGGCGATGGCCTGTCCAAACTCTCAGAACAGTTAACCATCCCCGCATGCGGGGGCTCCCGCTGTGTTAAGACAGCCATAGAGTCATGAAAAGACTCCTAAAATTTCATGCCGATGAGTTCACCTGTGCTCCTACACAACTTTTGAATAGTGCAGCAGCTCTCGGCAGCTGCAGCAATCGGTCGGTGAAGAATCGATCCGGGCCGTTTTTCTTAAACAAGGGCCCAGGCGCTGTAGCAGCCATGCAGCACTCGACCGCTCAAGCTTGAAAATATGCCAGAATCGCCGCCACGATCTACACAACATGTACGAACACCAAGGAACGTTGCACCTTGTGCCGTCTAGATACGCAAACAAAACATATCCCCGTCCATGCACTGCAGTCTTGCCTGGCCTTCATGTACTTCACGATAACCTGACACACGGATGAGGCATGTAAACCACAAGCACTTTCTCTGTTGCATGTCGACTGCATAAGCTGATACTGCTTTGCGAGTCGAACGCGGGGCCTCGGCCATGACACTGTCCTCAGTCCACTTGCTGTGTCTTACGTCCACTTCGTCTGTCGAGCGCAGGAGGGCTACCAATACGCCTTTGAAAAAGGCATGGGGCATAGCACGAGTAGACGGGCAACACGACAGTGAGACGTGTTCAGCAGGTAGCGCTGCAGTTTAACTGACACCACATTCGCCAAGCAAAGCTGACGAGATTACCGAGAAGAATGCCTGGAGGCCGATGGCTTTTGGGACTCGATGTAAAAACTTCATGTTACACAACAAAAGTGTCCTACACGATTTATCGCCGACTGTTTGATTCCATTTGACCGTTGTTTATTCTTGGCTCTTGGTGACCATCTGAGTGAAGCATTCTACATGCAACTTTGTACGCTTTGGTGGTCCAACCCTCTTTTGGCTTGCCTGGCCGCCTTCTTGTGGGAGCTTTGGGTGTCAATCCATTTCTTTTGAATGGATTTCAACTCGGGAATCTCGACTCACGGTGACCCGCGATCCCGTCACCGAGCCCCAAAGGACCCGGTGAATGTCGGACCCACAAACCTGCAAAAACCCCGTTACAAGCCCGTGGAGTATGAAAAAGCATTCGATCAAGCACGATTCACTAGGTACCAGCAGAGCCCAAGGACCCTGCGAGCATGCATGATCGAGCCCCAAAGAACTCGACGCAAGTTGGACCCGCAGAGCCCCGAAGAGATCCCGCGAGTCCACATTGAAGCTTAAAGAAAATCCGCGACTGTCAAAATCACGAAATTTTAATTTGCATTTCATTTTTGGATTTGATTGAACAACAACATAATATCCAATGCGCAAACATGTGTATATATATATATACATAAAAATATATATGTGTGTGTTTATATAAAAGCATTTCTGTAGGAAGTGCGAAATTCTTTGCAACCAGTTGTTCAAAGAAATTTAGGGTCGAGGGTGCTGCCTTAGTTAGCTACACACGTTCGAACCCAGGGACCCACAGATAGCGCAGAATAATTGGATTTTCCCATCTAGGCTCTTGCTGGCTTCGTTCCAGGACAATTTAAAACGGTTGCATGTAGCCATGCAATCACCGATTCTGTGTTAAACTTCAGCTCTGGTGGCAGAGTTCGTTCTGGATACAAGCTTGCCTTGAGACAGACCTGTGGAGGGAGAGTCTCACCGAAGATTGCTTTAGGTTCGCGGCGAGATTCACGCACTTTCTAAAGTTGAAAATGAGATCATAGTATGCTGACTGTCTCTCTATTGCATGTTGAAGAACAGTAGACTGAGTCAATGCGCAGCCCTGTGGAAGTTTGGATAAGTTCGTTTTGAAATATCCTATCGAAAGCCTTTTCCCAACCTAATGATACCAAAGTGCTGCACCAATTCACTTGTTGTTGCCATATCTTGCCATCTTCTGGCCACCAAGATTGCTTGACTAGTGCTCCTAGATTTCGGCACCGGTATTGGGTTTGCGTGAGTCGTGCATCCAATTCGTTCTCCAACCTTTCGTTAAGTAATCCGGCAACTCCCTTGTAGCTTGATTCTTGTAGTGAAATCGGTATTGGAGTCACCTTTGTCATAAATCACGACTGCTTTGAGAAAATGTCCTGTGGCTTCTACTCCTTCAAGACGGCATTCAAAAGTTGCTACTGCATTACCATTTTACCATTTAAAGTGCTCATCTGGCACTCCGTCGCGGCCAGGCGTCCTTAGGGAAATTTTCATGTTCATCGAGGATGGGAGGGAATTCATCTGCATCAACCATTTGGTAGTGGACTGGTCTCTCTATATGGCTGAGACGTAGAGGGCCCCACTGGACATCACTGGACTCTACATCAGCACTCGGCAGCTTTTAATGGGTATATAGCCAGCTGGAAGGAATCATGTGCAATGTGTACCCTTAATATTGGTGCGAGGACGTTTGAGGCCACTCCATTTACATCATGCAAGGCATCTGCTTCCAGTTCTTCAAGGAGGTGTTCCTTATCCTTTGGCCTGCGTTGCAATTTTTCCTAATCGTCTAAGCTACATCCCGTTGTTGATGTTCAGAAGCTTGCAATTTCAGCTCTAGAAGAGTGTGTTGCGACACGTAGGTCGGTATCTCTTTAGTCTTCGCAAAATTCCCATCCAGTGGCAGCAGCAAGTCGACGACTCGTGAACATGGAAACTCTGCTCCCAAGCAGCCAGACCAGTAGTGGGCTCATCACAGAAAAGAACCGCCGGCTGTGTCAGAATCTCCTCTGCTCAACAGCGCCCTGCTTGTGCATTTGAGAGGCTGTTGTTGAATGTTGATCTAGCCAGGCAGCTGTTGCAAAGCAAACCCTTCGCTTTTCGTTCTTCGAAATGCCGTGGTAGATGTCACCTGCAAAGCATTGCATTGGACGCCGCATCCGAGCGATCAATTTCTGCGAACAATCCACTATCCCGGAGCTGGCACCTATCAAGCTGTTTTGGCATTTCCTCGGGAACAAATTGCACAAGGTGTGCTGGATTGATGCTCCAGGCAGCCGCAGTCTCTACAAAGTGGCACAGACACAGACCACACCTTACTGCAGCTGCGGATCTCCAGTCCCAACCTTAGATGAAGCTGTAGAATGGAGGGGCAGTGACATGCCTCACGAAAGCTGTGACAGGGACTGACAGGGACGGTACTTCGGAGACTGCCAGGAAGCAGGTGAATGCATTTTGCAACACGCTCTCGTCGCTGGCTGGCTGTTACATCTCGCGGCATCCTGAGAGAGCTCTGGAAGAGCAGATGCTCTTTGGGAGTGTAGCATTCCAGGAGCATCTCCTCCAGTGCGAAGAGTTTCTAGCCACTCAGCTGCACAATCGCAAGGCCTGCTGATGAACGTATGCAACGCGTCGCTTGAGAGAAGTAGAAATTTCTGTCCTGGCAAGGCCAGTTTATGGGAGCTCAACGAAGTATCTACTGCCGCAACTGCGCAAAGCATACTGCCACTTGAGGTCGAGTCTCGCGTTGAAGGTTAGGCTGCCACCAGTTGGGCTGGTTCGCACGGCCAGGCAATTCAGTAAGGATGTCTTGCCAGCCTTGCAAAAGTTCATTGCGCAAGCTGGCACAAAGCTCTTGGCACTTCGCCAAGTAGCTCCAGAAGGGCCCATGATCGCAAGGAGTTCGCCAGGAAGCGCAAAGCCGCTCACTTTGCTCAGAATGTGCTTTTCCTCCGCAAGTGCTGTGGCGGGCTCACGCCACCACAGAGCATGATGCAACGGCCTCCGTAACACCACCCTTCCTGGCCAGTCTCGCCACCAGATCCACATCCTAGGCACACTTCAACACACATCCCTCATTGTTCCTGCAACATGCTCTAGGCAGATCTGAACACCATCACATGAATACCTTTTGGAGCTCAGCATCGTTCCAGTCTACTCGGACTGTGTTTGGGATCTCGCTTTTGACACTTTTGCTCGAAGGCGTCGCCATAGCGTTGGCGGCACAAATTTGGTTTTGAGTCTTGCCGCACTGCGATGAGAAGTGAGTGTGGCCTGCTGGGGTCATGCTGCCACCATTTCCGAACACATAAGATTTGAATCATCTGTGCTTCCACTCATGACGACGACATTCATGCAAATTTTGGCAGCCCTTCATAGCAACATAGGTCTCACAGAAATGTATGGCTTCGCTGTCGCTTAACGACACCAGCCGAGTGAAACTGCGACTAGGTTTGCAACAAGCTGCACTGGCCCATTCGGTTCAACTTTCTCCTGATACGACGGGTCCTGTATGTCCCATGTCCATTTGTCTTACTGCTCGTTACTGCTCCACACGGGGGAACCTGCCATGTATCAGATGAGGAGCTGGAGGCAGCGGTACCTGGCCCCAGGCTTAAACAGAGTACTTGCTTCTTCGGCGAAAGCCGGCACACCCGCAGGAGCGTCGTGCCAGGCTCCCGCACCTCGGAAAGTTTCGTTCCGAAAAGCAAAATTGAAGCTGCACGAGCTTCAAACTCATCTCGATGACGGCCCACCTGCTTTTGGAGTGCCCTGGGCGTGTTCTCTCTCCATGCCGCCACCTGGTGGGACCAAACGCACGTTCCAAGCCAGGACATAGAGGAAAACACTTGGGAAGAATGTGTAAAGCAGCACAACAAAGGGCACGCTTTGTGCAGCACGGGAAAAGGCACGCTTTGTGCAGCACGGGCCCGGCTGTGAAACACAATCCACTGCTACTGAAGCTTGCAATCAGTCGAAAAGAACACAACATCACAGCCCGTGTCCGGCATTGCCCTGTTTGTCATGGTCCTTCGCGTGGCCTGGACTGCTGCCTTGTGGCACACATACATGGGCTTTTCATTTGGCGAGGCACGATTGATCACGAATGCAGACTGACTGTGGTGGATGTGTCGTGTCTGGATACAAGCCCTCGCCAACGGCGAGAATACGAGGCAGTGCTTAATTCATCTTTTTCCGTGACATCATGCTATTCCCCGCCGCAACATGGACATACACGGCGTCTACCACATGAAATCATTGCAGGAGCGCTGTACATTAACATGAGAACTGAAGGTCGATGTTGGGTCGTACCGGTGTAATCCGTGCTCCTTTACGTGTGAACCCACCGTTTCCCTGCATATACCCGCTGTTTCACTCGATGTGCGGCAGCAGATCACGACTGCTCGGTCGGTAGGCGTCGGCCGGGAAAGAAGCGAATCCATGCAAGTAATTGCGGGAATTTCACCAGCGCCCAGTTGTCTTTGAGGCCATCTCGTGACAGGCTGTCACTCGGGTTACTCAGGGAGTCAATCCATCCGAAGTCAGCACGCTCTTGCACGCGCAGCCTCAGGATGGATGTGAGATGACCAGCTCGGCTTGCCTGTTCATCTGCTCTCACGATGCTCCAGCTCGGCTTGCCTGTTTCTCCGCTTTCACTATGCTCCAGCTGACCTTGCTTGTTTTTCTGCCTTCACTATGCTCCAGCTCGGCTTGCCTGTTTCTTGTTTCTCTGCCTTCACTATGCTCCAGCTCGGCCTGTCTGTTTCTCTGCTCTCATTGTGCTTCAGCTTGCCATGGATTCAACTTCCTCATTCCCATTACCATGGAACGCTGAATGTTGCTGATGTTGCCTTTGCGAAGGTCTGCGACTGTGTCGGTTGTCAAATGGGATGTACCGACACATGCTGAGATCTTCACCGACGGCCTACATGATGTTGGTGCGATGCTGCCATGGCGATACTGAAGTGTCTTAGACCGTGGATAATACTTCATGGTGGGTTCATGGTCGACCCTCTAGCCGTGCTTCCTGCATCCAGCACACAGTGTCCTTTGTGCCCGAAGGGCTAGGCAAAAATCACGCAATGATGCTGCAAAATGACTGCAACAAAAAGCGACGGCAGCTCTCGCAACTGCCGTCCCGACTATACACGATATTCTGTTTGGGTTTTTTCTGAACCTCTTCACGGTATGATTTTGGGCACTTGCAACAGACAAAGCAAGAAACCTCGCCGTTCACGTTCAACACGTTCTTCTCGTGTCGCTCCCACCCGGGCTGCGACATAAACCTCCGCTGCGAAGTCAGTTTCATCTGAGAAGCGACTGTCAGGAATCTGCTGGCAGCTCCCGAAAGCAAAGGGCTGCTGACGCCAAGACGCTGATGGCTCTCCTGAGACAGCACCGGCCGGCGCGGCGGTTCCTCCGGCCTGGCACTGTCACTCAGCAATCGGGCCTGCACGACTACCTTTTCATTCCTTTTGTGAGGTTCACAGTGAGCCGAGACACATCTTCAATCGACGCTTGTGGGCTTGAAAGCCGCGATGGGTCGCCTGACTGAGTCGGCGGCGTGTCTGCCATGTCATGCCTGATTAGTGACCACTGCTCTGGCGACTCACAACCATCTGGGAAGGCTGCATAAAACCTGCAAGGCCGGCACGAAAGAACTCTCACGCAACACAACCCTCAAAGCATTGCAGGTCTTGGCTTGGATTTAAAGTAACGGATGGATACAGTTCATGCGCGACTAACCTGTGTTTTCACAGCCAGCGTTTCTGGCTGCAGCGTCGGTTTTTGTGGCGTGGCCTGGTGCCTGCCGTAGTCGAAGCTATTCTAAACTTGCAATCAAACACTTTCCAGCGCATCCTTCAAGCCTCTCAAACAGCCGATGAAACGGCACTCAGTTCGGAGGAACGGGATGCAAACCAGGACTTTTGCCCTGCTTCACCGCTTCTTCCGCTGAAGGCATCAGCCGACGTCCACCTCGCACGTTACAGTAAGGTAGTCAGATGCCAGGAGCCTCGGGTCTGTGCCTGCCTCCATTTCGGCACTCAAAGCTCCTTCAGAGAAGGCATGCTCTGATGCTACCCACTGGACTTGCACGGATGGTGGCCGGCCTTCTTCTTTTTTCTGGCGCGCTCTCTGTCCACCTCGGCACAAGCCCTCTGCCGCACAAACAACCGGAGACGGTACTCTGCGACCGGAGGCACAAGTGAGGCTTGCTTGCCCACGCCCTCTGTCAGCTCCACGCCCTCCAAGTTCACAGCGTTTTCTACCTGAGCATGCCACCACAATTCCTTGTGAGCTCCACGCGAACTTCGTCGACACTCCAATCTCAGATGATCGCCAGGAAGTCCAGGAGAGGATCAAAGTCTCTTGCACCTTGGTAGATGAGCTTTTGGCGAAACCTCGGCAAAGAAAATTCAAAAGCATGTTCAATTCGCTATTCATGGCGGATGATTCCACGGATTGCTGGGGTGCACACTTTTTCTCTTTCTTCACGGCTGGATAGAAAACAAGAGTAGGATAACCTGACACACGCTCACACTGAAAGGGTGCGACCTTTTGTCTTAGTGTTGAAAAGTGTCGGCCTAATGATCACAACTTGCGAAGAAATGAAGCAACCCGGCATGGCAGGTCCAGATTCCCATGTGCATTCATCGCCTGTAACTTGTTCTTCGCACTCGTTTTCCTCAGCTTTTACTTGCTCCAGTTCGAGCTAAGCTGGTCACTAAGCAAGAACATCCCAGCATGTCCCAGCCGCTGTGGCATCCATCTTTGCCACAACCACGTTCTTGGCCTCAGCCCGGTAGGTCGACCAGGCTCAGCGGGGCACGGCCATTCTGCAGTCAAGTGTCGTGACCGAGACTTTCCATCTAGGCGAGCCCATGAATAGAATGTGTTCAGACTGGGGTGGCACCCCGAACCTTCTGCGCCAGCTGTGTCCAAACTGGTTCCAACTTCTTGCCTGAGACTTGCATTAAACAACCTAACTGTCCCACACCTGCAGCATACGAGCTGGCATGCCACCACAAGTGCCGGGCAGTGGCCACACCAAGGCCTGACAACTGCCACTCCAAGTCAACCTGCGACTGAAGGCGCCGACCCATCTCAGTAGCCAGCGCATAGAACTCGACCTGCCGTTGCACTTCACGTGGAAACAATGACTCTGGACAGCAAGCCCTTTCGACCAAAGCTCCAGCCACGGCTTCGTGTGTGCTTTGCCCAGCCCAATGAAGGAAACTTTCCGGCTGCACATACTTTTGGTCGGTTACACCGTCTTAGGCGGGCATTGCCGGCGTCTTGTGTCGTCATGCTTTGCCCGCACAATCTTCCGACGACGCAGTGTCTATGGCTTTCCTTGCTTTGCTGTTGCCCTTTGTAGCCCTTCTCTTTGAGGTCTACGTCCACGTACTGTGGGTTCTGAGATGCGTGGAGAAGGTCAGGAAAGGATGCAGAAGGGTGGAGAACGGTGGGGGAAGGTGGGGGTGAGCAACTGCCGTGTAGTGGGCAGCCGCTTGTTAATTTTCATTTCATTCTATGCCACGAAGCAGCTAATCACGAAGCGTGGGGATGCCATGGATACCACCGCGACAGCAAACTCCCGGTACGAACTGGCCAGTTGCGAAACCTAGGCGCGCCAACATGGTCACTGCCGTCAAACGTGGGGGCAGCTCCGCCACGAAGAAGTTGACTGCGAACCGTGGGGACACCACCGCGAAGACAAACTAGCACTAGAAGGGCCAGCGACGGTTAGCCGAGATATGCCGAGATGAAGTGTCCGAATCGTATCCACTGATGCGGTAGAAGCATAGGTCAGGTGACAAGTGCTCACCCGGCTTCTGCATCATACATGTACTGCAACTCTCCCCACGGCCACTGCTAGACTCGATACAGCAGCAGCGGGAAAACCCTGCTTCATCGCAACTTGCCCTAAATGAAATGCAGCTGGGCCGCAAAGACATCGTGCTTGGCATTTAGGACAACTTCATCGAAGGTATCACCTCGGAAGTGCTGGACTCCTCATCTTGTGCGTCAACCCAGCTCATGGCGCCTGTCAACACAGTGACGCCACCTTCAGCGGCCTGACACAGGGGCATCGGAGACCATCGGAGACCATGACCCTGCGAGTCCTGACTCGGAGGTGCCGCGCTCTTGTAGTACCTCAACCCCGGCTCCCCCACCACATGTTGTCAAAAGTTGTCAAGATCTTCCATGCATTTCTTGGTGTTGGCCTCAATGTGGCACAGGCGTCCCACAGTCCAAGACTTGCATCCATGGTGCGGCTTGGCTTTCTTGGCGAGAATATCCGCAAGAAAACTCTTAATGGCCTCCAGCGATGGCATGCATCGTTTCGCATGATCGGCTGGGCTGCTTCCAACCTGCTCCGTCACGTCCTGCAAGGCAAACGAAGTTTTCCGCTGCAGACTCCAAGGGAGAAGCGATGCACGAGCCGCCTTCAGCACATACTTCTTTTCCTGGTAAAGTACTGAGATCTGCATAGGAGCATCCTCGGCCACTGCAGGTTGGTAAAGCCTTGTGCACTCAGAGTGCAGTGACAAGCTTGGGAAGCTCGCCGTTTTCGCCCCGAGCACGGCCACGTCGCTTTCCTCCAACTTCGATCGTGGACTGGTCGCAAAACGCCATGACCTCTAGTCTCTCGGAGGCTGCCTGACTAAGCAAACGAATTCGCACTGCTGCAATCATATTCCGACAAGTCTCGCTTCTGCCACAGCCACCTGCGCCAGCATGATTTGCCGCTTCAACTCACTCCCAAGTCCCCCAGACGACTTTCTAGCCTAAACCTGACTGTGGCATAAGAGCGCAGGTCGGCCCTCAACAAAAGCATTCCTGACCGGCTTCGGCCGCCGAACCCACAGCGGACCAAACGCATTCCGAGGCCTTCTGCAGGAGGCTTCGCATGTCTTTGCCAGCATCCTCCGTGTCGAAGATGCCAATGACTGCTCCTTGAAAATCCCTACTTGCAGCCGCTTTGCGAGGCCAACCACTAGAACCACCCAAGGCGAACATCTGAATCTGAGTCAACCACCTTTCGCTCCGATCTCCTGCATCGCCTGGAAGAACACAGCCCGGAAAGCACAGCTACGAGCGTCGTGCTGCCGCCACCTCCGTTGAATATTTGTCCGCGGCAAAGGAATCGCCAACCAAAGCGTACGTGCTCTGCCTCAGAGGAGGCAGAGCAAAAGAAGAGCACGAAGATAGGCCGCCGCGGCGACTAGCAAAAGAAGAGCACAAAGAGATCTTCTTCCACTCTCTCGGCCCTCTCTCGGCGAATTGAATTCCTTCCAAGTCTCTTGATCCACTTTGCCAGTCCCGTGTCTGTCCATGAGCCGGGAAATTCCTGAAGCTTCGAGCCGCAAAGACTCCAGGCTTCTGAACAGCTAGCTAGCCACCGACAAGCGTCAAGCTTCTTGTCTTCTGGATCCTTCAGAGGGCCTCGAAATTCTGACGTCTCGACGACACAGCCCCGAAAATGGCCAGCAAAGTTCCGCACGCGACATGGAGAGGTAAGCATCCTTCTTTGGATCGGCTGCTTTGGGCAGCCAAACGACAGCAAACCTGACAAAAGAAAACATGCCTTCTACGAACGAAAGCCGCACGAACATGGTCGCTGATGGAGGTGATTCGAGTCTGAAGTCCTTCGCGATTCTCTCCGGCCTCAGTTTCGAGCCCTTGTAATCTATGAGGCTCTCGGCGGACTTGGCATACGCCTTGCAAGGAATCCAACAGGTCGCGCGATTGACCCTAACAACTGAGGCTGGTCTGCTGATGCACCTTGGCACGTGCAGATTTCTTCTTCACGTGCGCCACCAAAGCCTCGGTTAGCGGCGTACAGTTGTGACCAATGAGAAGAGGTTGGAGACAATGGGCCGAGAAACGAAGGCATTTTCGTCTAAGGTTTTCTGAATCCAAGCTTTCACCTGCAAAAAAAGCACGAAGAAAACATGCATGCAAGTGCAGTACCACGCTCGTCTCCGTGCCTCGGACTCCTTCATTTCCTCCACGGCTGGCTTCTCTCTTTTTCCTGAACTCGACTGTCTCTTGCATTTTCAGTTTATATAGATTCCCAACACACTCCAACACACTCCGCCGCATATTCTAGGAGCAATTCATGTGCGAGATGCTAAGCCATTCTGCGATGCCATCCGCTTCTCGCGGGCCATCGTAATCAACAGGTTCACCTGAAAAAATGCTTGGATTTTCCCATGGCACCCAGTGGGCCTGGGCATTCCTGCCTCCTCCTACGAAGTATTTCAATGTCGGATATGATTGCACCTTACGGGTGGCTTGCAAGGATCCGGATCCTTGGATGTGCCTTTTGTTGCCTGGTATTGCCCTGCCAGGCCCGTCTCTGCGGTCGCATCTACCTGAGGCAGAGGAGCAGGACTCCTGGTCCTGGCCCTCGGGATCTGCTCACCTGCTCCGGCCTTGGCCAGCATGGTCTTGGCCCCCTCCATTCCTCAGCGCGTGCGCGTGCGAGAGTGTGGCTTCCTAACGAAAAGCTCGACGAGGCTCGCAGGGCATCGGCAGCCTGATTGTACTGCGGCTCCAGCTGCTGACAATGGCCGCACCAAGGCCTCCGCACTGTCTTCTCCCAAGATTATGCATGGACTGAAACACTTCTCAGCAGGGAACGCATAGAACTCCACCAAAACCCTCTCGTTACTCTTGATGAAGTCCTGGAAAGTGCCTTTGTGGGGAAGCTGTCTCTGCAGAAGGTGTCTCTGCATGTCTGCGCATCACGTGCAGCAGCCATGCACTGGTTGAACGTCGACTATTTCAGCACGCGGCTGTCGGTGAGAGTTTTCACAGACTCTGGGAAATCTTCGTCATCCTCCCCGTCCTGCATCCATGGCACGAGCATGGCTAGCAGCAAAACTCCTCTGTGCTTGGACGATCGCAGTCTGGATTCGCTATTCCCGTCGCAAGTGTTACACAGCTTTGGTACGCTGTGCTTGGCCCAGCAGGGGAACAAAGGCAAAGGCTCCTCATCCACGTCTGCCTGCAGTGTAGAGTGGCGAACTATTGAGCGAATCCTGTCTTCATTGCATCAGGCGCGCACGAAGGTCCGAGCCTCGTCTGCAACCTGCCCTGCTACCTTGTTGGCCAAGACACCTCAAATCGGCTCTAGGTGCATGGCGGCTTTGAGCAGTCGGTGGAAAGGTACGGAACATCGAGCACACATGCACACACCGACACACACCAGGTTGTCTTGACCAAGGGTCTAAGCAAAAGGAGCAGCAGACTCCATCGTGCAGGGGCCTGTATTTTGTCAAGCAGAAACCACTGCACAGTCGGGACAAGAGCTTGCCAGGTGGAAAACATGAAGTGCTGAAAAGCTTCCGCCATGCCGGCGGAGGGCGCAGCGGGCACGCAGCTGGGACACAAAATTGCTGCAGCACCAGCGCTTTACAGCTACATTGCTTCAACATGGAGCATTTCCTGCCTATTCCAATCGCGACAGCGAACACAGAAGCAACAATGTCTTCCGCACCTCCGCAACTCCGGCAATGATTCGGGTCTGGAAAAAAAGGTCTTCTGGCCTCGGACATACGCGCATTTCAGATGTTGCAGGCTTGGACTACACACTGAAGTGACGCAAGACTTTTTGCATGGAACCGCCGCGCTGGCTGCGCATTGCAGCTGTGCGCTCTCATTTACTGCAGTTGTCAAGCAACTGCACTGGGACTCCGGGGATCATGCCGGCAGTCATGCTTCGCAAGAATGCCAGGCATCCTGGTTCTTCAACACCCCATCGTGACAGATGTCGGTTACTTACACAACGTATTTTGGACTACATCTACGCACAAGTAATGATCAAACTGCTCTCTTCATCCACTCACAAACGCAGAACCCATGTACTTGGTGATGTATGGTAAAGCCTGCTTGGCTACATCAAAGCTTGGGTCCAATTGCCGGACTAAGCCTTCACTGATCGATATGGTAAACAGTGTAGAAGCCACGTCGCCCTTGAGCAACATTCCGTGCCGCCTCAGCACGGAAGCCAAACAGGACGCTCATGTGGAGAAATGCGCACAACAATGCCAGGTACATGTGTGACATTCTTGCGGTGATGCGTCTGTAACGTGAACATGACTTCTCCAAACATGTCTGCCGCATTCACAGGTCCTTCCTTGTCTATTCGGAAAGGTCCCATGTACCTCGCTTGGGCAGCATATCATGCGAGCAGCAGGCAGAATTGAAAAAAGGAAGCTGTAACTTCCCTGAGTACGAAATCGATGCTATCATGGCATGCATTGGAACCTGTCGTTGCACACGAGGCACTTGTCCATCGTTTCCTGGATATCCGCGTGTAACTGCTTCGTGTTGACTACCTGAGCAGACAATCACACAAGCGGAATTGAAAGTTAAATGGAGACGCGTGAGTTTCCCACAGAACGTTATTATGCCCCCCAAACACAAAAAAAAACTCCCCTCGATTTCAGACTGCAAACTGGGCCTGGCAAGTGCTGCACGATGCCTTTACAAGAACAGGTCCGAAAAAAACAAAATTGAATAAGCAAGCTGTCGTGCAACACAGATGCCATTTTCGACTCGTCAAACCTCTGCAAGTATTCAACCACCTTCTCGGTCTGTCCGGAACACAACGCATGCAAAAAGCGTCCTGTGCAGTCGGGACAATCAATGATTTATCTCTGCCTGGCATGCCAGAATCGACAGTTTCTCCAGCGATAACTAAGAACGCCGCCAAAAGGGGCCACCGTTCGCTTGTCCAGTGATGTTGCAATTCCAGCATCAAGGACCGTAACGTGGTCGTCATTTGTTGAATACAAAATATTTCCGCCATGCAAGTCGCCGTGAACAAAATTGTCTCGAATCATCATCTTCATGCTCATGTCATACAAGATCCTTGAAAGATCACCTGGCCGATCGCACATTCGGCGAAGGAAGCGGTGGAAGCAAGCTCGGCCTTGAACTTCGCGCTTCTTGGACTCCAGGGCGGTCATGGCATCTTGACATGCAGCCTTTGCGTTGTCGAAATCCTCCCGAGGCATTCTACATCTGTGTTTGGAACTTCTGGAATGCATGGACCCTCCTGTTCACAGTTAATGCTTCTTTCACAATACCATGCCATGGTATCAGCTGACTAGCAGTGGTGGATCTACTGGAGCAATGTTCAGCAGACAAATGACTAGCTGCAGTCTCCATTTGCCTTCTGGCCGGTGCCAAGCGACTGAGCCGGTTCCATGCACTTGCCCCTGCTCCGGGTTCACTGACTCTGCTCGGGATGGCTCTCTGCTGCGGCGTCCGTCTGCAGCTAGGCTCCTTCGCCCATCCCGTTTCCAGGCCAATGGCACCGTGTGCATCTCGCACGGCGGCAGATGAGATTGCTCGTAGGACGGGCTGGACCTCGGACTAACCGTCGTCCGTCCACCTACCGGTATGTGCCGGGAACGCCTCCAGGTGGAGTACTGATGTGGCACAGGTGGTCGTGCAGTGGACCGTTTTATCTGTGGCAGTCTGTGGCATGATTCCGGCTGAAGTCGAGTCGGAATGGCCAAGAATGGTAACAACACGCAACCACTCCATGTGCCTCCCAAAAACCTGGCCTTGTCGGCAACTTCACGAGCTACCGAAAACCAGCAACCTTGAGCCAATTGAGATTTTATGGAATTTGTGAAGCTTGAGAAAATGAAAGACAGCGCACGCTCGGCTTTTGTGAACATGACCGTGAAGTACGCTGCGCTGACACGTGTCTGCTGTCAAAATAATGCTCTCGTGCTCCGGGGTGCAGGGAGCCAACAAGCTCTGCTCCAGAAACCAGGTCAGTGTTTTCACACGACTAAGAGGTGACACGAACAGGCAAAGCGTGCGATAGCTCGCGACCTCTGCTTCGAAAGTTGATGCGCCTTTCATCCCGTGATGCACTGTCCGACTACGAGCCCTGCTATAGGAATTCTGAAGTTAAACTTCGACACCAGCGCTTGAAGATTCCGAGAACTGAACCAAATCATGACACTGTCCTCCATGATGTTGGAAATGATTTCGCCGTTCTCCCAAGTCTCCACGAGTACTTCGGGGGTTACGAAGTGTGAAGACACTTTCGGAAACCTGTCAAGGAAACAGCATCCAATGGTCACCGACGCAACAATCAAGGCCTGATTCGGTGCTCCCCCTTGAAGTTTCGTGCGAAGCCTGACGTACTCAGGGTAGCTCCGTCTTTGCAAAGCAGACACAACTCCCTGCACCAATCCAGCCACGTTGAAGATTGAAAGCTTCCCTGGTGAAGTCCATCTGGGCTTGGATCACTTCATCAAAGTCGCTCCTGCTTTGCGTTGGGCATGATGGTGAATGATGGTGACGGACATGCACTTACCAGATACCAATATGTTCCAATCTCCTGCCTATCAAACGGCATTGTCATGTGCAGGAACTTCTCAGAAAATTCCACGAGCTTCCAGACCTGAAAGCTGAGAGAACTCTAGCACTCGCACGGTCGCAAGGGAAGACATGGACAAAATGCCGCTTCTGGATCAGTACTCAGTGCCACATGCCAAGTTGATAGCGAAGGAACGATGTTCAAGTCCATAAACGCGCTGTCGATGACCCCGGGGTGCTGTATCTTCACTGCAACGTCGCGAAGCTGCCCACCTTCTGGCTGATGCACTGGGGTGACAAGCTGCAGTGAAGCAAATGACGATAGATGACGCTAGTTAAGATGCGAATTTCTGACTTAATATACCGTCACGCAACCCACAGCTTTATGATCAGCTTCGTATCTGGGTCTCTGGTGGAGTTCTTCGTTACCTATCACTCTTGGCGGAGGCTACACCTCGCTTTGTCCGTGGACACCCTCTGATGACGACCCGCCCGGATTCGTTGGCTAGGAGCTCGTGGTTAGGTGTGGCAGTTCAGCTTTATGCTCGCGAAGCCGAGATTCACAGATTCTTTCCCATGGTTTTTCTTGATTCCAGGGGCTCTACGTTGCCCGTGAATTTGGGGGGGGTCGTTGCACCAGCCTTCAACCCCCATAGATACTATAGCATAACCAGAAGCAGAACATCAATCTCTGCTGTTTGTGCAGTCTGAACAGCCTGGTCCGTCCAGTGCATGCTCGGCTCTTAGGCGGGCCCTGTGCACTTGGCCCACGGAACCACTAGCCACCGGCTCTTCCTGAAAAAGGAGAAGCAAGTTCGCCGAACGGCATCAGCACATGACCTCGGGCCTGAAACTCATCGAAAAGCTCATCGACATCCTGAGTGAGCCAAGTTCACGGGCCATCGTGGCACCGCTTCATCATTTGCAGCCCTGGCCTTACCCAGCTGGACCTTCAACATCCTTCGAGACACGACCTTTTTTGCAGGGCTGGTGCTTGCCAGATTCAAAGCGTGCATCACGTGGCCAAAGGGCGCCAGAGTGTGCCGGCGCATCTGCCCGCAGCTTGCTTAGAACCAGAATCACATCCGGCGGGAACATGTCCGGCCGCATGGAAAGCCACTGGCCAAACCTTCGGTCAACAGTGAGAGCCACGAAGGACGTGCTTATTTCAACAAAGCTGATCTATGACGGTATGCTGCCGGTTCGCTTCTGAAAAGCGGCACCAGCTCTTTGTGTACCTGAGAGCACCCATAGGTTTTGGACGGTGCTTGCAAACATGTGGGACCAAGTGTGCGCTACAAAGTGCTATATCTGTTGGAGGCCGGCAAGGCATGATCAAACGAAACAGAACAGTGTGGCAGCCAAGCAGGGACGGCCGGAAGACCTCATGCAGCCTCTACCAAAATCCCAGCCAGCACACAAGGGAGCAGACTGGCCAGTCCAACCCCAGTCTTTTCTGCATAACCTGCCTAATGTTGCCCACCTTCAAGAGATCAATCCGCCCCAGACCCAGACCTCACACAAGAGAAACAGCAGCTGCACGAGGATCTGCGAACCCTTCATCATCACGACACAGCCCGAAAGACTGCGGCGTAGTAGTCAGGGAATGTCATGCGCACTGGCTGCATGTGTAGGGGCGCAGGGTAGGAGCCGCATGTCAGCAGCAAGGTCAAAAACATGTCAAAACATGGCTGTCTAAAGCCGGCAGGCCGTCATTGTTGAAGATTCCAGCTTGTTGTGAATCACATCCATTGGCCATAATTGAGATAGACTGAATAAGAAAAGACAGAAGCCTGAACTTTTGCAGCTGGGTAGGAACCCTCCCCCTCAAAAAGTATTGGGCAACCTCGCAACTGCAACAACGGAGAGACCATGCTCCGACCTGAACGGACTTATATTAAGCATGACTCTGGCCAGGTTGCATTCCAGCAGCTGGTGCAGCCAATATTCCCGCCATGTCCGGCTTTCCTTTCCGAATACCACCAGCAGCGTTGAGGCACCTTGGTGAATCCACCCACCTAAAGGAATCTGTGTCGATAACTGTCGGCTCGGATCCGAGAGTGGGACACATGAACGGAGCGAACACCCAGGCTAAGAAGACCTAAGCAAGCTGCCGGAATCGACATGCTCACAGCAAGCCAACAACCGTCAAGCGAAGCGACGGACCGCTTGAAGGCAAACCAGGCTTTCTGATACCAGGGCCAGATTTCATAGGGATGGACGAAGTGACCACTTGGCTCCGGTACTGCAGGCAGTTCAACGTCTTCGACGCGATCCCACCGAGCTGAAAGCAGTCGGTAGCCTTTGTATCCGAGATATGATGCGACCAAAGACGTGCCAACCGCAGCTTTCAAAGCAGCGGAGCGAGATTCTGGAGGTCGAAGCCTCTGACCATCGCTCCATGTGCTAAATCGACTTCGTCCACCGCACCGGCAGAGATGCCGCTGTCTTGCCAGGCTCGTCGATTGCTTGGCGCCAGGTCTACACCGCTGCACCAGTCGACACAACATGAGGCAGTGATCTTCATTGCTTTTCTTTTGAGCCTCGAAGCTGCAGCCAATCAATGGGCGCATGAGTCAATGCGCGAGGATGCTCGTGTCACGTGCTTTCTCAGACTCATGAAGCTGCGTGCACCGGCAGCTTTTGCATCCCTTCGAACTTGGCAGCCAAGGAAGGAGTTCGGTTCTCAATCTGATCCAATCTGTACGCATTTTCTGCGCATTGCATCTGGACACGGATCTGGGCACACAGCTCCGGCAGTTCAGCTTTGTTCGGACGGACGTCCTGATGGCTACAGGTTGGTCCCATACTCAGGAGGCCAGGCCGCGGCATATATGCCAGTCTTAAACACAACTTGACTGCAGTGCAAAGCTCACTCGACGCTGATTTGGAGGCCGTAAGTCGGGGTGCCTGAGCAGCTGACATGCAACCCGAAGGACCGACAAGGCATCTATTTTGTGATTGGCGCACCTGTCTTCGAATCATACTTCACACCCCCAAGGGCCGTGAATCCTTTTGCGAAAACTTGCTTGACCTCAGTGGCCACCGAAAGTCCGTCCCTTGCACGGGGCAGTGAGACGGCTCCAAACCAAGGCGCAGAGCAGCTAATTGCCCTGTTGTGATCCAGCTTCACCTCTCGAGAAGCCCTCCCCCCAAATGACAGGCAGATGACGGTGCATTCCGCCTTCATGGTCGTGTTCTTGTTGCAGGCATACATCAGGCCAACAGTGTAATTGCCATCCCTGCAAGAAATACAGCGATGGCTTCAGCAGTAGGTTCCTAACCGAATCAGCCAGGCCAAGGCTTCAGCGTTTTCTTCCCGCCGTACGTGTAGTTGGCGGCCAGCCGCAGATTGTCTGCTGCCTGTGGCTGCCATGTATGTCCTCTTTTCTCGTAAGGAGGCCTCTCGCACGTGCGCACCTTGTAGTGACAGGAAGCTGTGTAGCAAGAGAACTTCTCCTTCGCAAGCAATGATGCCTGAACACAGACGACTTGCACTTGTCCCGCGCAGCACACGAACACAAGCACTCCCATGTATCCCCTTGCTCTTCAGGTCACGAAGAAAGGGCCATGGAGAACGCGCAAGCCGAAGTCCGGGCACCAGGGTTCTGCAATCTTGGCTCCGAGAGTTGCTGGGCCGCTCCTCGGCGAGGCCATGGATTATGTGACCTTTCCGTGACGCCATGCAGTCTGCCCTGGCTGTGCTCGCCTTTACAGTATGTGCTGCGCCCGCCGCTGAGAGCCCCGAATAAACACTGACAAGACTCTGGAATGTGGCTTCTGCGACGGCATCTTGAACACCGATGCCCTTCAGGTCCAGCCCCAACCGTGCATCCTGCTTGCGACGGCAAAGTCAAGAGACTTCCACGGCACACATCCAAAAACCTTGAGGCCGCTGTAGATAAGGCCTGCTGGGGCCAGCCGCGGGGAAAAGTCTCAAGAGAACAAGGGCGACATGCCAGACCTGTCTTCGTCTTCATGACATCACTGAGCTCCGGCTTCAGTTCAATTCGCAGTCCTTTCAGGGCCTCAAACACACAGAGCATGAAGCCGAAAGAACCGGAACAGCAAACTTCTGCAGCGGGACCTTCTCCGTAGAGCCTTCCAACTTGATGCCACCCTTCTTGTCCATTTCCAATTTGTCCTCATTTTGCTGTAACCATTCGCATACCCTGTGACATGGCTCGCAAAGTGCAATAAGGTCGGGGCGATAACCACGAACGGACAGCCCAAGGGAGTTGGAAGCCTCCACGTAATTTTTGCCGGCGTCATCGGAGCCTGCATGCGCGCCCTCCATACTCCCATACCACAGACTGGGCACTGCTTCGCTACCTTGTCCCCAGGGAGGATGTCCACGGCTGTCGTAACAACAGATCCATGCCAGCTCGTCTTCTGCTTGGCCTGGCTACAGCAATCTGTGTCTGAGAAATCCCGACGAATTGGGGAGGCTTTTTTTTTGCTTCGGGACTCCATGGATCTGCCCGGGGCACAGCCGCCTTGCTTTCAGCAGCCATGCCAAGAAAACAACCACCCGACTCGGAATTGGGGAGGCTTGAGAGCCCGAATTTTACCCAAGTCTCTTCCGGTGTCTCACAAAAGCATTTCCAATATCACCGCTCCTTGAAAAGATAGCCCTGCTGGTAGTCGTCGTTCAAAACTTCGTTGGAAGTCCTGCAACATTGAGGTTCACTGCACATAGGCCCCTCATGTAAGTATGACTTTCTCGGATCGAGCAGTCTTGGGGATGTCGTCAAACTTCACGGGCCCCTGAGCAGGTGCAACGCTTTCAATATCTTTCAAAACTCCCCTCGAAACAAAATCGATGCTTGGAAATGGCACAGCTGAGTTCGATTCCATGGCTGATAGTAGGAACAGCCAAAAGCACAAAATGAAACTATGAGCCACAGCGCTGCAGTCCATGGCAGTCCATGCGTTTTGCCCTATTATGCTCGAAAGTGGTTGAACGGTGCCCATGGCGCAGGCGCTGACATCCCCGCCAAGCAATATTCTGGTCGCAAGGATCCTGGCAAGCTGATACCGGCCGAACCATGAACGTCGTGTCCGGTGCAACGTCACCACAGCCTGGGGTACCGAGTTCCACTCATGGGCGCTCTGCCTTGCAGCATTGAAACCAAGCAGGCAGTTCCAAGCCTCTCACATCCTCTCACTCTGGGTCTCTGACCAGGGTGTGGACCTGCTCCCAACCAGATCGTCACCGATTAAATGTTGTTCTGTCGCCAGATCAGCCGAGCTACGGCTGGTGCCAAAGTCCAGGAGCCGGCCTGAAGATTTTGGACCTCGGATGCTCCTTCCCCCTCACTCTCGAGTGCCGGCATGCAGCCCGACAAGGAACTGCGAAGCCAAGCACCATACTTGGTACGGGTAGCTGGTGAGCTGCCTTCTCAGCGATAGCGATCAACATCTTACTTTCACTGATGCTCAGTCTGCGAACTTTCTTTCTCAGCATATCTTCCAGCTTCAGATACACGGTCGCAACATGGAAAGCAAGGTTCCGATTGCAGACTGCCTGGACCAGGATCTTCCGTTTCCGACCTTCATGTCTCAGAGGCTCCAGCCGAGGTGCTTAAAAGCCGCGGCATCACATTAATTGCTGAGCTCCTGTCCCTTCGGACTCTATCACAGGAGGCGCCAAGGTGGTGAAGGCCTTTGGACGACAAGTGCTCAGCGTCGCTCGAGTGGTCTTGGCATTAATTCTGTTCCTCTCCTTGGGCGCTGTTTTTGCCAACCATCTCGCCAGGGCTCGCTGAGATATCCTGCCAGCTCCTGCACCGAGCAATGGAGAAACTGCCAGGGTGCTAAAATCACTCCAACGAGAAGACCAAGAACCCGGCGGGCTGTATCCATCCGGGACCAATGAAATTGAAACTCGTCCGATCTTGGATTGCGGCCCATAAAATAGCCTCGGTGCGACTCGGGAAATAGCACAAAGCCAGCCTTCGCTGTGCTGTGCGGGATCGGCAGGACCATGCTCGGACTTGGACGCCACATGTCCTCGATTCAAGAGCTCAGCTCTTCCACGCGCACGCTTCTTTGAGAATCTCTCCAAAACAACGCGACTGTTCGCTAATTGGCAGGTCGCATAGGTGCACGAAAGTGCAGTGGGCATGTCTGGCTCGCGACTTGCGGGCGCAGTCCTTGAGCAGCCCCTTGTAATCCCAAACCTGATAACGTAAAAACCTCTAGCCCTACTGGAATGCTACACGTCAAACACCAAGATCAGCAACTCTTCGTCATTGGTCATTGACACCCGGGTTTGCGAGTGTGCTGGTGGATGCCGCTGGGGGGCAATTTTGCGGATAATGTGTGCAACAATGGGGAGAAAGTGCAGGGGCAAAGCGGCCGAGAGAGGGAGAGGCTTTCAAAAGGCTCCGGGGTCCCGGAACTCGTTCTCGGCGATGTAAGCATCCTCACAGGACTGTGCTTTTGACAAGGATCCCACAAGTTGCTAAGCAAATCAGGAGTCCGGATCTGCGTCGAACATGTTCATGTAAAGCAGGGCCAGTTCCTGGATATAACAGCAGTGGCATCTCTCTCTCCTTTCCGGAGTTCCGGAACTAACTTTCCACAAATGTGCAGTCCGTTGGGTGCTTCGGCTTGCGTAAATTCTTCAGGAAGCGTTCAAACTCCTGCCATGGATCAGGATGTCTGGAACATGGCAGCCACAGCTTGGCAGCGAACCTGAAAACTCAGGGTTCCATCCCGATTGGTGTCCGCCATCTTGAGACAATGGTGCAAAACCTTCCATGCAACAAAGGGGCATGACATGAGAGTTTGAATGTTCCCGCACTTGCCACACGAGAAGCTCAGCACATGCTGTGAAACGAGGTTCGAAATCTATTTCGCCGCCTGTGTCAAATTGATTTCCGCTCGCGCGTAACTGCCCACCTGTCCGCAGCACTGGTCAAGCAAGTGAAATGGCGGCCCTCGTTTAATGCCGAGACTACCGCCGATTTGGAAGCCATGGCAGGTGTCAATATGGTCCGGAGCGCCTTGGGCTTTACGATCGTTCAACAAAAAAGCATGGTTTACAGAGCCACCAGCAAGCAGTGCTCTGCTGAGTGCCATGCTTCAAGGAACTCCGAGCAATTCAACTCATCCAGCGTCATCTCCTGGGACTCGAAACCGAAAGAAAGCGCACATGGCATTTGCAGCTGCCACACGGTCATCACATTGTAACCGGCAAAGTTCGCTGACATGTGCAAACATTGTTGAGAGCACGTGCACTTTGCACACGGAAGTTTGACAAGTCGGGTTCAGAGCTCAAAGAAACTCTAAGACTCTAAAATGCTCATCAGAGCGGGCTTGGGACAACGCTTCTTGCAATCAAGAGGATTTGCCTTTTTCACCGAAACCAGCCAGTCGGATGCTCTGCATGAAACGCCTTTATGTGCTCTAAGGCTGCAACAAACGTAGCTTCCTTGTGCATTAAGGAAATCCGGAAATGAAAGAAACCCGGCCGTTGACCAAAGCCACTCCCAGGGCTTGCGATGACGCCAGTCCTGCTTACCATCTCCAGGCAGTAGATTTGATCTGCCGGTGTTGCTAATGAGATGGCTTTCTTCATCACGAAGCCCTTGACAATGATTCTCGGTAAAGCATAGGCGCCGGAATCTGCAAGCGGACAGCGAATGCCTTCGACCCCGGCAAGCTTTGACAAGAGCTGAGCGTTCCTGTCTGCAGTCTGGACAACCTTGTCCAAGCAACTTTCCTGACTTGTCCAGGGCGACAACAAGCTTGCCAGCCAGGCTTGAGATTTGAGAGTTGGGCAGTCCACGACAGCATGCAAATGCGAAATCATGTCGTGTGGAACAAAATCGCAAACAATGTAACCTCCATCTTGCCCTGTGTAAGCACACGCAGAGAAACATGAGAACACGGGAACGGCAAGGCCAATCTCTTTGGCTGCGTTACGAAATGAGAGCCCCCTGGTTGCGAGATTGTCCTCTTGAGCAATTATGGCAAGGCCTTGCCCATGTGCCAACTCCAACAGTGCATCGATCGCAGTTTTGGCGATAAGTCGGCCAGACAGACTGGGGTTCGCCACAACCAAAGCTCTAGGATGCCTTTGCTTCTGCCGCAACTCGTGCAAAGTCTGGCCAAGTTCGGACACGGTCCTGTCCCAGTCGTTGTCATCAACCAAGTAAGACACTCCGAGCTGGCCCATGGAAGCCGACGTTTCCCGATAGGCTGGGGGACCAGGACTTGGTAGCAATACGACAGCGTCCTCAGAAGCCCCTAACAATACTTGCAACAAGGCCCTTGCACTTGGCCAAGAACCAGAAGTCAGAACAATTGAGTCAGGTGACGTTTCCATGTCGTCGCGATGTGTCACGAAGTTGGCCACAGACTCGCGAAATATCGAAGGCCCATTGGCGATGCCTTCTTGGCGCTGCATTGCGTCTAGATACGATCGTGCCCTGCTGTTCGCTTCTGGACTTGTCACCGACACCTCTTTGTCGCCGGCCACCAGGCGAGCCACGACCTCATGTTGGCTCAAAATGGTCCTTACGAACTGCGCGTCAGCAGAATGAAGAGGTATGATCTTCTCAATTGCAGGTCCTTGCGATCCAGCACTCGCCCCTGCGCATAGCACAGCTCTGGCATGTTGAACCACTCGGTCGGTAACGCTTCCACAAGGCCGGCGCTGTTCTCTTGGCCTAATAATGCCCAGCTTCAAAACTTGTCGCCATCCACAGGAGCCACTGCGAGCAGTAAATAAGCAAGCCATGGCAACATCAATGCTTTGAGGCCGGGTAATTAGCACCAACCAGCGCAAGCAACAACAGCAACCACTGATACAACGTCACACAATCCACAACAGCTGCGGCCGTTGAACCGTCGAAGAACAGCTTATGTGTCTACGTCATTTCATGAAACATTGAACTTGCTGCACCTGGTTGTTGTCCCGGTCCATTCGCTTCCACCTGATTGTTGGCAATTGAAACACATGACGTGGCATGCCCGAGATTCGGCCAGCGAGGGCGCAAAACCGCTGCATGCAAAGACTGGGGCGCTGACAATGCCAAAGCCCACTGTCTGTGCTGCTGTGGCGTCATACCCTCTCGTCGGTGTCCGTGCCACGGAAGCATACGAAAGCCTTGTCATGCGGTGCTTGGTCCCCGGCTTTCGTCGCCTCGTCATCTTTCCTGACGGACAAGTAGGTTTTGCTGCTCGCTTTCGCCCAAGTTGATCTGAGACCCATGCCCCATAACCGTAGCCAGTCACCTTGCCAGAATTGCTGGTTGACGTGTAACCGCAACCATAATTTCTGCTTGGCACACGTCTGCAACGATAGACCCCGGCCTTTGCAGCATCGTGCAAACTGATGCCAGGTAATGCATTGCCATCGGCCACTCCTGAAACCCGGCGTCTACGATCTATGTTGTCGTTGGGAAGCACAATATCAGAAACGAGTCCTGTTGTGCAGCGGCTGTTCACCAGTGGTCGCAATATGCAAAACTTCGTATGAACATGCGTAAACAACTTCCTACAACTTCCTTAACAACATGTGCTGCATGCGGGATTCACTGCATGTGCCACGTCAGCACTCACATCCTCAATGGCTTGCGGTCCCAACACACAAGCTTCGTAAAAAAAGGGACCGCTGGGTGGGTGGTCTTGTAGGGTTCGGCCCCAGGCTACAGCCGCGGGCATCGCCATTGTTCCTACCCACTATCTCTCGTGGCTCCCGAAAACTTCATCGATCCCCTCAGCGGGGGGTTCTCGAAGGGACAGTGGTGTTCTGCCATTTTAACCTTTTTTTCTCGGCTAACCGAAGCAGCATGAAGAACACAGCGAAGCGGACTGCACTCTCGTTGGCAGGATATGGAATCTGCAATACGGTGTCTTATGCTTTGCGGCCGAAATCCCCCTACGGATCGTGAGACGCAAGGGCGATGCTTACAAGCGATTGAGTGCTGTGTGATACAGTGAATAATTCCCTTCGTGCATGCGACATGAAAGCTCATTGGCCGGTCGCGGCAAGAAGGAAATATATCGGGGGAGTGCACGGCTTTCCGAATGCAACAAGACACATGTGAAAAAGAAAACCGTTAACGTTCGTGTACATTCGTTTCATTTGTGACTAACCCAAGCAGCACAGTGAACACCGCGAAGCGGACTGCACACTTTGCGGCAGAGTATGCTCGGAAATTGCAGCAAAGCATCGTATGCTTTGCGGCCTGAAAATTTCCGCGGAAGCTCCGAGCATACCGCTGTCGACTGCTACCCCTGCCGTGTCTGGTCAGGAGCGTGCCTGCAGGAACATGCGCGAAGGGCATGTAAGACTTATGGATGCATAGCACGCCAGATGGCGTAGGACGTTGGTCATGCTTGCCAGCTTGCTGGCCATGCCTCCGGCCAACGGTGCGAATGCATGACGCCGACTGCTGCCGCAAGCAGGTTTTTTTTTTCGCACTCCTTTTTGCTGTCCACGCGGTCGCTGTGCAGGTCGCCCGAAACCAGGTCCAGACTACGGAGGCCACTCAGGGCATGCGGACGGCAAGAGGAGGAGGGGCCGATGGTTCGGCAAGGAGGTCGCTGAGGAGCGGAGGATCTCCGTCGACATAGGCTGCACCGGCAAGCGGCAGGGAGAGGAGGCTGGTCGAAAAGGCGCTGGGGCGCGGGCAGCG